ATGGCGAGCACTCTAATACTTTTTTTTTTTTTTTTTTAAGCAGAGAGAAATTTTTCAGGGGAAAAGGAAAGTAAAATTTGAGAATTAATCATTTATATCCAATCACACATTTTAAGGAGTAGTCACTAGGTCACTTAGTGCTGGACGTAGTCATTGAACTTTTAATTTTAAATATTTTTAGTTATTGAATTATTTTTTTATATTTCTTGGTTTTTAAATTATAAAAAATATATTTTTTTAAGTATTTAATATCTAAACTTATAATTTATGTACAATTTTAATACTAAACTTATCAATATATTTGGGGTGAAGAAAAGAAGAAAAATGTAAAAAAAAGGAAGAAAAGAAATCTTTTATCTGATTATAAAAAGGAATTAGAGGAGAAAGGAGTGGAATGATGTAATTTACATTATTTTTTCTTTTAATTATCATTTTTTTAAATTTTTTTACTTGTTCGAATCGATCAGAGGAGGAAAAATAAGGACTATATGTATATCAATCAAAGAACATGCTGACCTTGCATGATGCAAGAGGTAATATAGTGTCCAGTTAAAATTACAAAAACAAAATACAGAAATCTGGCCTCTACCCATTTAATTTATTCTAATGCAATTTGAGAATGCGCTAGGTGCGCGTAAGGTCGAGCCTTAGACATGTTAATAATAACAAACAAGCTAAACAAGGAAGAGTACTTGGTTTAGGGTCTTTGTCTTTTCCCTTTTGTTTTGTTACAAAGAAGAACTGAAAAACCAAAGGCTGTTGATTAATAGAGATTCTATAAATTTTTTTTGTCACAATTTTAGTGTACAGCCCGTGTGCAGCTGCACTTGCCTTGCAGTGACTTTATTGGAGTTGGTAGGGTATACCTATCAATGGACAGTGACATAAAAAAAGATTTCTGTCATTATTTGCCTCGTAATTTATTCATAGATATTTACGCACCATCTTCAATCCCAATTTCTCTCATCATTGAAGATTCTCTTGTTTCGAGTTTGAATCATATGGCAACCATTCCCACAGCTGAAGATTTGAACCTGGAATATGAATCTCAAGTGAAAGAATTAAAGGAGTTCATGGAATCTGGTGTTGGAGTTAAGGGCCTGGTAGACTCTGGAGTGACTAAGCTCCCAAGATTCTTTGTCCGTCCGCTGGAGCAATCACCGCAGCCATCGGTGGAGGAAGACATCCGATTCCAGGTTCCTGTAATTGACCTCGACGGGATTGAGACTGGCCGCCGAGGGGAGATAGTGAGTCAAATTCGCGATGCGTCTGAGAAATGGGGAATCTTCCAATTGGTCAATCATGGAATTCCAATCCCAGTTATGGACAAAATGCTTGATGGTATTAGACGGTTCAACGAACAGCCCCTGGAGATAAAGAAGGACTGGTTTTCAGAAATTGGCGGAGCCCAACAGGTAAATCTGTACAACCAGTTACCCCTGGCAACCTGGAGGGATTCCTTGTCCTATAAATTTCCAGATGGAAAGATAGATGAAGAAGTCATTCCTCAAATTTGCAGGTCATTATATTACCAAACTCTCTCTCTTTCTTTAATCTTAGGATTTTATTCGGAGTCCTTGACATAGCGACGTATGTACCAAAAATACAAATTCTGTTAACGGACATTTCTAAACTTTTGGGGTTTCTGTTTATATTAATGTGCTTTGTGTACAGAGAGGCTACAAGTGAGTACACCAAATATGTGTTCCAACTAAAGGAGACGCTGTTAGAATTGACATCTGAGGCTTTGGGGCTCAAGAGTGACTACCTAGAAGGACTAAAATGCATGAAAACGGCTTATGTATTGTGCCATTATTATCCGGCTTGTCCAGAACCCGAGCTGACTATAGGTACGCGCAGCCATACAGATGCATCTTTTCTGACGATACTCCTGCAGGACAATACCGGTGGACTCCAGGTTCTCCATCAAAATCAGTGGCAGGATTTGCCTTGCGTGCCTGGATCTCTAGTTATAAACAATGGTGACCTTATGCAGGTAACAATTTGTACAATAATTAATCAAAACCTTGGATAGATTACAACTTTTTTTTTATAATTTGTATAAATATGAATTGAATGATGATGTATGTGATTTCTTTACTCTTTAATAGCTGATTACAAACGGCAAGTTCAAAGCTGCTAGGCACAGAGTGGTGGCCAAAATCGTTGGTCCCAGGATATCATCAGCATTTTTCTTTCACCCGGCAATTGCCATGCAGCATACATTGTATGGGCCACTGGAGGAGCTTGTATCTGAGGAAAATCCACCTATTTACAAGCCAACATCTTTTTCAGAATATTTTGCTCTCTTCAAATCCCGGCGTGATAAATATAGCAGCAACACATCTGGGCTTTCTGAGTTGACGCTCTCGTCCTAGCTAATTTCTCTTATTTTATATCATGTCTAGATCTAAAGTTTCTGTTTGGTTGATGAAAAAATAATGTGCCCAGATCTGAAGTTGACTTGTTTCATCCGGACCATAATGTTGAATAATCAAAGGATATTTAAGCCTTGCTTGAGTTCTGAGTTGATTATCTGTGGAGAATCTGCTTGGTTATGGGCTGGGGTGCCTCCTCACAAAGGAAATTGTGGTAATGGACTAATGCA